AGGGTTCCAGTTTCTCTACAACCTCGCCAGCATTTGTTGCTTGCTGTTCTGTTAAATTTTGCTATTTTGACTGTGGTGAGATGATATCTCATAGTTGTTTTAATTTGCATCTCTCTTAGTGCTAGGGATTTTGAGCATTTCTTCATGTGCTTGTTAGCCATCTGAATGTCGTCTTTGGTGAAGTGCCTGTTCATATCCTGTGCCCATTTTTCTATTGGATTATTTACCTTTATCTTGTTGTGGTGGGATTCACTGTCTTGTATGTGTATGGATATTATCCTGTCATTCACCACATTGTATTTCAATACTGATCTAGACTTTTTTTAACTGTGAAAGCAACCTCATTTTTCCTCACGTTTTCATCTCCAGCCTAGTAGATCATGATTTTCTGACTCAAAATGTCCCATGCCTGTCTGTCTCATTTCGCTAATACCTAATATGTCAGTATTTCCTTCTTAACAATATCCAGTTTTCCTACATTCATGGTTCTCACATCCATGTTCCAGTTATTAGTGTCTGCTTACAGCTGTTCCTCTTGTATGTTTCCATATTTGAGGGCTCAGCCTCAGTTGCCCCATCTGCTAGTCTAAGTGTGCTCTGTTGTACGTAGGGTCTTCAAAGGCCTGCTATTTCGGAAGTGGATAGTCAGTCCGGGTTTTCAAAGGCCTGCTTTTTCGGAAGTGGATAGTCAGTCCTTCTTCCTAGTCTGTCTTGATTTGATTGCTCAGATTTAGAACATTATCTGACAGACAAGCATTTTATAGAGAAGAGCAGATTAAAGATATTTCCCAGTAGTAGAGAAAAACCAATAGATTCCATGTTGTCCCCACCCTTGCCAGGTGTGTTTTGAGCCATCTTTTCCTGCTCTAACAGCACTTACATATACTCCCACCTACTCATTCAACATCAGTCTCCCCTATCCAGACCTTGATGTGATTGCCTATGTGTCAATCTTTCTGGGCTTCTGTGATTCCTAATGCCTCAAACTGCTGCCATTTCTTCCTCTGCAGGCAATATTGACTTCAGGAGTTTTGAACTTCTGCTCCAGGATTGACTTCTTGTGCCTTAGGACATCATCTCCTCCATTTATGCTACAAGAATTTCCCAGGGGAGGTTGATGAATCCTGCGTTGTATGGGGTCCACTGAGACACCTTCTGCCACACATGTTGTACCATTGTTTTTCATGCAAATAAGAACTGTATTTGTTTTAGTCAGCCCCATGTTCCTTCACCTGGCCATCTGAAAGAATGTGTGACAAGTACTATTAAATAGATACAGGTGCCATGAGGAGAATCAGGTCATTCAAGGGTTAAAAAGGTTACTTTGGAGGACTGGTAAGGAAGCATCTTTTGGGGCACCCAGAATTTTCAAGAAAGAGAGTATTGGAAGGAAGACTATGGTTGACTAGGTCTGTGCTCCTGGAATAGGCAGAGGAGGAGGTGGAGGATTTGTTCAAGATGAGGGGAAAAGGATGACAGGTGAGGTCAGTGCCCGTTCAGCAGGTAGGTATGCTGAATGCACACTCTGGGCTAAGTCCTGCCCAGGAATTTAGGTAGAATAGGTCCATTTCTGATGCCTGGACCCCGGCAGAGTTAGGGCTTCCCTCTTTGTAGCAGTTGAGAGAAGGGACTGGGCAAAATGTAATTTGAGGAAAGCCTGAGGAACAAGCTGTTGTGTGTTACCCAGAGAAATCCGGGCAGAGGCTTCTCGAGGAATGATCTTTGGGCCTTAGAGGAGAAGTGACTCAGGAAAGACCTCATAGCTACCAGGGCAAGGAGAAATTCTTCCAGATCGTTGCATCCTACTCACTTGACTTTCCCATTTTGTTCCCTCCAGAACCTTTCAGCTCTGGGAGCATTGGTGGGTCTCAGTAATGCACGTCTTGGTTCTGTCAAAACTCGGTAAGTTTTTTACTCTATTGTTTTCTTCACGGGGATTTACCCCAAGTAGTAAGTTCTATATTTGCCCATATCTTGCCAGTATTAAAGAATTCAAGAGATTTTTGTTTGTGTGAGCTTGCTCGAGCGGAATCTACCGTCTCTCGCTTCTAAGTTTCCTCCTCCCCACCTGGAATCACTTCTCCTTTCCCTCCTTGCTACTTCCACCTTACTCCTTCCACCTCACTCCAAATCCTTGAAGTATTTTAAGGGTCACAGACTGTAGTGGGTCTAGGAGTAAAGTCTTGCTAGCATCCAGGGGAACGAAAAGAACAGTAAGTAGGTTTCTCTGAAGCTTGCCATCACCCACTTGTCATTGATCACTTAAAAAAAAAGTATACTGGTTTATTTACAAAGTTAGAATAAATTGTTTTTCACACTAGATTTTTCCCATTTCCTTCACCTGCCCCCCCCATCAAATTGTAGGACCCCATGATTAATCTCCCTCACCATCCATCCTCAGCCTTCTGCTTCTACCCTTCCTTCCCTTGAATCTTGATACTCATTCTATAAGATGGTTATACAGTATTTGTCCTATGGGACTGAGGTAGTTCACTCAGCATAATGCTCTCCGGTCCCTCCCAGGTTAGGGAGTCTTAAAAAATTATTGCTCCTGCGTGCTGCATAGTATTCCATTGATCACTTTTTTTCTTAAAAGGTTTGAGGGCTTGTGTCTGTTGTCCCTGCTGGTGGGAGAGAGCCCTACAGAGATGTTCCAGCAGCACTGTGTCTCCTGGCTCCGGAGCATTCAGCAAGTCTTACAGGTAAGGATTCTGGCAATGACTTCTCATTCTCCCGTGAGTTCTTTGCCATTTCCGAGGTTGACAGAAGAATTAGAAGTAATTTCCTAGTGGAGGGGAAAGCTTCTTTAAATCAGTTTAAACTTTTTTAAGGGTTTGATCTTCTGGGTTGATTTGATTTCTCTGACACACTAACTTCTAACGGGTTCACTTCTTTGTTGGCTTTTCTAATGTGTCACATTACTATAATGTTGCTTTCAACAGATGCTTGATTCCCCCCCGCTTCTTCTTTGTTTCTCTTTTAATCACCCCATCCTCGTCCTTTTTACATTCTCAGAGACAGCTTCTCTTAACATTTTATTCAGCATTTGTTTTCTGAATGAGTTCAGAAACTCAATGAGTATGAGTTCATATGACAGACTGCTTGGTAAGCACTGGAAGACAGGAATAAGATGTACACAGCTGCTGGCTTCATAATATTGTTCTCTGTGCAGGGTTGGCAATTATTTTCCTGTAGTGGACCAGATAGTATGCTTTAAGGTTTTGTTGTCTGTATATGGTATCTGTTGTATATTGTTGTTTTTTATCTCAACCCTTTAAGATTGTAAAAACCTTTTTTAGCTTGTGGTTGTACAGAACTGGCTCTCACATATTAGTTTATTGTCCTGAAAGTGAAAAACTTTTTGTTAAATTTTCAAATGATTGTGATGTGATAAACTGAGATATATGTAAAGAAGAAAAAGAATGTAATTGTACTTGCACTCTGAGAACATGATAACAATAGAATTGGGAGGAAAAAAGCATAAGAAATGCCAAAGCATAGCAGCATCCTGTGAGACCCAGGAAATCCTGCATTTAAGCATTTTCTTGCATGAGCAGAAATCACAAGAACCTTCTGTGAGCCTGTTGTTGTGCGACTCATAGTCACCCTCTCTACAACAGCCCTAAACTCGGCTCTGTCCTGTGCCAGTCGCACTGCCTCTGACACTCTCATCCTGATTACACCAGTCACTGAATCAGTCCACCTCATGAGGGCCTTCCCCTCCTGCGCTGTCCCTCTACCCTCCCAAGAATGATGTCCCTCTCCAAGGACTGGTCTCTCCTTAAAACATGTCCAAAGTATGTTAGACGGAGCCTCAGAATCCTTGCCTCCAAGGAGCTTCCCGGTTTAACCCTTTCCAGGATGAATCTATTTGTTTTCCTAGCAGTCCATGGTACCCTCAATAGTCTTCTCCAGCACCACAGCTCAAAGGCATCAATTCTCCTATTCTCCTTAGTCATTGTTCAACTCTCTGATACATAACAAGTGATAGTAAAGACCATGGCTTGTATCAGATGCACCTTAGTCTCCAGAGAGACACCATTGCTCTTCAGTACTTTGGAGAGGTCCGTAACAGCAGGCTTTCCCATGGCAATATGTCTTTTAATTTTCTGGCTACTGGTGCCAAGACTGTTGACAGCGGAGCCAAGCAAACTAAAGCTGTGAACAATCTCAGTCTCTTCACCATCCATCCTGATGCTGCCAGTTGGTCCAGTGGTGAGAATCTTTGTCTTCTTGACATTGAGCCTCAATCCATATTGGAGACTGCAGTCCTTGACCCTCTGCAGCAAGTGCTTCAGGTCCCCCTCAGTTTCAGCAAGCAGGGTTGTGTCATCTGCATAATGCAAATTGTTGATAGATCTTCCACCAATCTTGACCCCAGATTTTTCTTCATAGAGCCAAAGATGGAAAGAATATACTGAGTCACTGTATTGAAAGGAATTGGCAGAAACAGAAGAATTTCGTGAAACAACATATGAGCAAGAGCCTATGGTGATGAAGGAAGAAGTTCAGGCTGCTTTGAAGGAAATAGCAAAAAAATAAGGCCCTAGCAATAGATGGTATACCAATTGACATATTTCAGCTAACAGATGCTGCCCTGGACATGCTCACCATGATGTGCCAAGAAATCTGGAGAACAACCACTTGGCCAACTGACTGGAAGAGATCTCTATTCCAAAGAAAGGTGACCCAACAGAGTTTGGAAACTATAGAACACTATCATTGATTTCACAGGCAAATAAGATTCTACTGAAGATTATCCAAAAATGACTGGAACAGCACATCAGCAGAGAACTGCCAGAAGTCCAGGCTGGGTTTAGAAGGGGTCGTGGTACCAGAGATATTGTAGCTAATGTTGGATGGATCTTAGCTGAAAGCAGGAATTACCAGAGGAATGTCTATATGTGTTTCATTGACTATGCAAAGGCGTTTGACTGTGTGGATCATAACAAACTGTGATGGTTGACTTTGAGAAGAATGGGAATCCCAGAACACTTGATCGTGCTAATGTGAAACCTATACTTGGACCAAGAGGCAGTTGTCAGAACAAAACAAGGAAACACTGCGTGGTTCAAAATTGGGAAGCGTGCCCGCCAGGGATGTGTCCTGTCTCCATACCTTTTCAACCTTTTCTGTGAGCCTAGGAGAGGAAATTTCAGAACTCTGAGTACCTGCTGATAAAAAGAAAATCTTAGAACAAAGGAGAACAGCATTTGAAGCATTGGTGATTCCCAAGAGTCTTGAGAATGTGTACTCTGAAGGCTCATGGTGGTCAGTGAGATTAAACTGTAGCAGACATTGATGCACTTAAAGACATCAAATACTCCCACAGTTATTATTAGCCACCATTGAGTCAGTATGACTTATGGTGACCCAGTGAACAAGAGATCTCAACTCTGCGCTATCCTGCTCTATCCTCATCAACTCTGATACACTTGAGCCCATTGCTGCAATTACTGTGTCAATCCATCTGGTTGAGGGTCTTCCTTTCTTTACTGATCTTCCACCTTTCCTAGCATGATGTCTTTCTCCAAGGAATAGCCTCTCCTGAGAGGATGCCTCAAGTATGTGAGGTGAATCTTCACCATCTTTGCCTCTAAGAAGCCCCTTGGCTATACCTTCTCCAGGACATACTTGTTTATTCTTTTGGCAGTCTATGGGATAGTCAATACTCTTTAATACCGCTGTTCAAAGACATCAGTTCTTCTGTAGTCCTTACTTGTTGTCCAGCTCTAAGATGCATGGCAAGTGATTGAAAAGATTTGATCTGAATCCATCACATCTTAATCTTCAAACTGACATTGTTGCTTCTGTACTTTTGAGAGGTCCTTGACAGCACACTTTCCCATTGTAGTACATCTTTTGATTTCTTAACACCGGTGCCCAGTGGCGTTAATTGTGGATTCACATAAGGTGAAACCATTGACAATTTCAATATTTTCTCCTTCTTTCATGATGTTGCCTATCTACTCAGTGATGAGGATTTCTGTCTTCTTGATACTGAGATTCAAATCAAAGCCTGGAGTCTTCTATTTTCTGCGGAAAACACTTCAGGTCCTCCTCACTTTAAATAAGCAAGGTTATATCTACTGCCTAATACAGGTTGTAGATAAGTCTTCATCCAATCCTGATGCCACATAATTCTTCATATAGTTAAGCTTCTCAAATGATTTATTCTCCTATTTAGACTAAATAAGTATAGAGAAAGAGACGACTTAGACCTTTCTTAATTTTAAACCACGTTATTTTCTCTTGCTCTGTTGTTTGCACAGTAGCTTCTTGGTCTAAATCTAGGTTCCTTATGAGAACAATTAAGTATTCTGGAATTCCCGCTCTTCTCAGTCTTAGTCGTAGTTTTTTATAATCCACACAAATAAATGCCTTTGTATAGTTAATAAAATACCAATAAACCTCTTTTTTGGTATTCTCTATTTTCTGGTAAGATCCATCTGACATTAGCAATGATATCTCTGGTTCCACAGCCTCTTCTAAACCCAGCTTGACTCTCAGGCCTTGGGCCTGTAGAACTGAATTATGGCATGGTGAGAATTAGGCTGGTTCTCCAGGCCCTGGGCCTGGGCCCTGCTGAGCTGGCATCCAGTATCCCGAGGCATTCTGGACTTTGTGCCTCTACCTTGCTGAGGGAACCCCTAGCTGCTTGTAGTATGATGTCTGTTTGTTTGCTTTTAGGAATATATTCACTTTTCTGTCAGTTTCTTGTATCGAGGGAGTGATTTGCATGTTGCAGCTATATAAGATATACATGTATATGTATATATACAGTGCTTGTCTGTCAGATGCTGTTCTAAAATAGAGCTCCCAGATTGAGACAAACTAGGAGGAAGGATTGACCAGCCACTTCTTAAATACCAGGCCTTTGAAAACCCTGTGAACAGTAGAGCACAGTTGCACAGTTAGATATGGACAGTTAAATATATCAGTGGAGGGAGAACCTTCAAATTGAAGAATTAAAAATTTGGAACTAAGAACTAAGATTTGGAAGGTCATTCGGGCTCCATGACTCCAAAAAGTCAAAGTTCCATGAGAATTTGAAATTCTTTCCATTTCCCCCTTTGGATCAGAAATCTATAAAATATTTGATCAAAATGTTCAGTAATGCTAATGGAGCAGCATTCTTTTCTTCTGGTCTCATAGCAGTTGAGCCGGTTGTTAATTTTACTTAAATCCATAATTAACACCCATTGGAAGCAGTAATCAAGAACTTAACATATTGCATTGGGCAGATCTGTTGCCAGGGACCTTGTTAAAAGTGCTAAAAAGCCAGGATACCACTTTAAAGACTAAAGTGCCCCTGACCCAAGCCATGGTATTTTTAATCACTTGTTATGCATGTGAAAGATGGACAGTGGATGAGGAAGATAAAAGAATTGATTCTTTTTAGTTGTGGTAGTGGTGAAGAATATTGGATAAACCGTTAACTGTCTAAAGACCAGACAAATCTGTTTTAGAAAAAATGTAGCCAGAATGTTCCTTAGAAGCAAAGTAGTGAGACTTGTCTCACATATTTTTGACGTACTGTCACGAGGGGCAGTCTTTGGAAGACAGCATGCTCAACAAAGTAGAGGGTGGGAGAAAGAAGAGAAGACCCTCAATAAGGTAGAATGGCACAGTGACAGCAGCAGTGGGTTTAGGCACAGCAGATATTGTGAGGATGGTGCAGGATCTGGTAGGTTTTCATTCTGTTGTACATATGGTCACTATGAGTCAGAGCAGATGGTGTCTAACATCTCCTCCTGCTCCTATCTAGGGAGCTCTGGTGACCTACTCTGAAAGCATTGTGCTGCTCTCTGGTTGTTTGATTCCACCAGCAGACTCCTTGAGAGAAAGATGTACAGTCTTCTCTCATGTGATTTACAGCCTGTGAAGCACACTGGAGGGTCAGCAATGAGTTTAAGGAGCTCTAGTGACTTCCTCCATGAAGAGTTGCATTGCTAGCCCTAAGGCTGTCTTTCTCTGATGGTTCACATTCACCAGAGGATTGTGGGAGAAAGATGGGCAGTCTCCTTTCCTCCTGTGGGATTTACAGCCCTTAATATTCTTTCTATCTCTGATGCCCTCTAATTCTACTGGTAATTTATTGCTAACATTAACAGAGTTGTTTCTCAAAAGCCTCATATTGTTAAACCTACCATTCTTCCTCTTTTTGATATCAGTAAAAGTGAGGTTAGAAACATGGCTTGTGATTGCCCTTTCAGTCCCAGGACCCAGCGCCCACAATGGAGTTGGCTGTGGCCATTCTGAAGGACCTGCTCCGCTATGCAGCCCAGCTTCCTACACTTTTCCGGGACATCTCCATGAACCACCTTCCTGGCCTTCTCACGTCCCTGCTGGGCCTTAGGCCCGAGGTGAGCCTCTCAGTCCCCAAGACTGGCCCTCTTCCCCTACTGTTCTTTACTCATACACAGTACATAATTGGGAGTAATTGGGAAATGGAATTGAGGAAGTGAGAAAAGGGACAAGCTGAGAAAAAGTGATTGTGTAGAGAAAGTGCCTTAAGGTACTGGTGGGCTGTGATGGATCAGGTGGACGTGAATGAGGCTGGCGGCAGTGACCTCTCAGCTGCTGCTTTTCTGTTTCCCACAGTGTGAACTCTCAGCATTGGAAGGAATGAAGGCTTGTATGATCTATTTTCCTCGGGCTTGTGGTTCTCTGAAAGTAAGTATTCATGGAAATGCTTCTTCCCATCAGGTAAGAGCTTTGAGGCTCTTACTTTTCCTTCTATCCCTGAGTTTGCTAAGCACCTCTATTCTGTTTGTTCTTTGAGTTAGAAATCCACAACTTGAGGCAGTGGTGGTTTATGGCACAATTCCTACCTTTGTGTGGGAGAGCTGGGTTTGAATCCCAGCTGGTGATGTGCGGCTACTACGTAGGAGAGGGTTAGATAGTGTTATGATGCTAAACAGGTTCTGGCGGACCTTCCAGATGAAAGTAGCTAGGAAGAAAAGACTGGCGATCTATTTCCAAAAACCAGCCTGTGGAAACTGAGACTCACAATGGTCTGATCTTAGCAAAGTGTGAAGATGGTGCAGGACTGAGTAGTGTCCCACTCTTGTGGGTAACCATGTGTCAGGGGCTATCTTTTGTTAGGCAGCTAACAAAAATAATATCTACTATACAACTATAATTATATGACTTTGTGACATGTTAAAGGCATTATTTTTTTAAAATAATTTTTTTATTAATTTTGATGAAAATTTACAGACTTTGAATTTCCATTCATTCATTGTTGAACTTTTCTCCCTGCCCACCTCTCCCCCCCAGCACACTCTTCTCTTTGAAAAGTAAAGTTTCCCCATTGTGTTACAATCCCTCCCCCTAGGTCTACTCCACTATGCAGCCTTCGTTTTGGACTCCTGTCATGACAATAATACCTAATCACATACCCCTTTTTAAACAGTTTTCTCATCTGTTTCAATGCAGTATACATTATTTATCCCATCTTTCTGAGTCTCCCCCCCAACCCCGAGGTCAGTCCTGTTTTACAACAGTGGCACTATGCAGTATTTGTCCCTTTGTGACTGAGATATTTCACTCAGCATAATGTCCTCCAGCGTCACTCATTTTGAATAATATTGCATGAGTTCCTTGTTTTTCAATGCAGCATAGTATTCCATTGTGTGATTATACCACAGCTTCTCTATACATTTGTTTGTTGATGGGCATTTAGGTTGGATGTGCATATATCTGTTTGGGTGTCAGTTATGGTCTCTTTGGGGTATATTCCCAGTAGTGGAATTGCTGGGTCAAATGGTATTTCTGTTTGCAACTTTTTGAGAAAGTGCCATACCGCCTTCCACAGTAGTTGCATTTTACACTTCCACCAACAGTGAATAAAGGTTCTAGTTTCTTCACAACCTCACCAGCATTTGTTGCTTGCTGTTAAATTTTGCTATTCTGACTGGGGTGAGATGATATCTCATAGTTGTTTTGATTTGCATCTCTCTTAGAGCTAGGGATTTTGAACAGTTTTTCATGTGCTTGTTAGCCATCTGAATGTCTTCTTTGGTGAAATGTCTGTTCATATCCTGTGCCCTTTTTTAATTGGCTTGTTTACCTTTATCTTGTTGTGGTGCTCAAGTATTTTATAAATTCTAGATATAGGTCCCTTATCTGACATGTCATTACCAAATACTTTTTCCCAGTTGGTGACTTCCTTTTTTACCCTGTTGGAGAAGTTTTTGCATGTGCATAGGGATTTGATTCTTAGAAGGTCCCATTCATCTGTTTTATCTCCTCCTGGTTGTAGATTTTTCAGGATACTTGGAAGACTGTTTATGTTGTGGATTAGGACTTCTAGAGTTCTTCCAAGCTTTTCTTTAATGAAGTTTGTAGTCCTTGGTCCACGATACACCTAGAGTTGGTTTTTGTGTATGGAGTGAGGTGTGGATCTTGCTTCAGTCTTCTGCAGATAGTTTTCCGATTTTGCCAACACCATTTGTTAAAAAAAAAAGGCTGTTGGAGCTCTGGTGGCCTAGTGGCAAGAAGCTGTACTGCAATAAGGCTGTCGTTTCCCCACTTAACTGATTTTATCTCCTTGTCAAAAATCAGTTAACCATAGGTGGATGGGCTGATTTCCGGGTTCTCAATTCTATTCCATTGATCTATGTGTCTGTCATTGTACCAGTACCATGCTGTCTTAACCACCATGACAGTGTAGTAGGATTTGAAATCAGGGAGTGAGATGCCTCTACCTTTTTTTTTTTAAGGAGTATTTTGCTTATTCGGGGCTTCTTTTCATTTCGAATGAATCTGGAGATTGCCTTTTCCATTTCTTTGAAGAATGGGATTGGTATTTGTATTGGGATTGCATTGAATGTGTAAGTTCCCTTTGGTAATATTGTAAAGGCATTATTTCATATAATCCATACAGATAATGAAGTTGAAATGACATAATTTTGCCTTTCCTTGCCTTGCCCAAGATCAGTAGAGGTCAGAACCTATAACTAGCCATATGATGCCAAAGCCCAGGCACTTAACCATGGATTTCTTTCCCACCTTCTTTATACTTCAATGATGCCTTGTCCATTTTTATACTATCTTATCTATGTTTATTCCTAAAGCTCTTAGAATTTCCTTAAGGAAACCTTCCTATTATAGCACTTTCCTGTATCAACTGCCTCAACACTTCTTACATTTCTGTGTGTTCTTCCTCTGTCACTTTCCCAGTAATACCCCACGGTGTCATGATGCAAACAAGGTGACTGTATAGCAAAGCCATGTTAACGTGAACACGTAGTGGGCATGTGACTCACGGAAGAGAGGAGATCAAGGAAAGAATTACAGTTTCATTTTCAGGGAGATGATAGAACAAATATGAATGGCTAACCAATTCTGCTAAAGCCATAAAAATTAAAAGGAAGGGCACATTTGTTTGTGGCAAAATTGGCTTCCCACTAGTAAAGAATATATAGATGTTTTCCTGTAGTAGATTATTTGTTCTCTTTCGTTAGATTGTTCTCATCACTAGTATGACAAACCATTCATACACCTTTGTTCAGATGGAACCGTAAATCTGTACAACTGGAAATTGCAGAGAAACTTTGTTTTTGTAACTGGAGTGGTTGATTAACAGTATTGGTGAATGTGATGATTAAGAGACAGTTTGCCATTCTGATTATCTTTAAAATATCAAAAGGAGCCCTTGTGGTACAGTGGTTAAATGATTGATTGTTAACCAGAAGGTTGCCCTTCAAACTTACTAGCCACCACTCAGGAGAAAGATGGGGCCACCTTTTATAAAGATTACATAGCCTGGAACCTCTATGGGGCAGTTTTGCTCTCTCCTGTATGGTCACAACTTGTCAGAATTGACTTAGCAGTATTGAATTTATGATCACAGAAAGAGAATAAACCCTGAAAGAGTCATCTGGATATAGTCCCAGAAGTCATGTAGATGAAGCTTCTCCAGATGGGTACATACTCTGTCTGGTACTCACTCTTAGGAGCAAGGCACTTCTTTTTTTTTTTTTTTTAGAGTTGGTATTCCTTTCTTTTTTTTTTTAACACTTTTTTTAAAAATATCAATTTAAATGAAAGCTTAGGGTTTCCAAGTCACTCATTGTTGCACTTTTCTCCCTGCCCACCTCCTGTATTCCATTTTACAGAGGAGGCTGTACAGACTCATGGAAATTTAAGGTTGTTTTTTTGTTGTTGTTTTTTAATTTCCTGGCATGCTTTTATTTCTCTCAAGAATAAAGTATCACCTAGGGAACTGTCCTCAGTTGAATTTTTTGGCTTCCTCTGTTGCCATTACCTCACTTAAGGATCTCTCTTGTGCAGAGTCCCAAGAGGCAGTTTGTACTTGGAAAATGTTGTAGACTGAGTTCTCAGGAAACTCACTAGTCATTGCCCTTTTGATGTGTTATCTGTTGTGCTCTCATCCCTCCTATGTTCCTAGAGCAGTTGCAATTGTGAGGTTCATGGTAACTCCCTTATGTAAAGCATCTGAAGCATTCTCAGCCCATGAAGTAAGTTACTGTAGAAACTTTACTTCATCTCCTCATTCCTAAATTGGTTAATAATTCTTTGGAAAGAGTGGAGCACTAACTCCACTTTTGAGACTCACCCAGGGCATATTCAGGGTGTGTGCGTGCGTGCGTGTGTGTGTGTGTACATTTTTAGTAGACTATTCCAAGTCAGCCGTTACTTTGCTTTGTAAGCTACTCCAGGCACACCTGTGGCCAGAACAAGGCCATTGTGCTGTACTTACGTGCAGTCATGTAAGCCTACTTTCTCTGCACCTGACCTAGCTTTTGGAGCTAGAGTTGAAGCAGAGCTTTTGTCTAGATTCTATACCAGGCCAGCCTTTGTTCCAGTTTCCAAGTTCATTGGTTTCCATGCAATGAGTGACTAACTCTTAACTTCCTCTGAAGGTGGACATCTTTTATCATTTTTTTCTAGATTGATAGTGCAGAACTTTTAACCCTTCCAGGGACTTCTTACCACTCAGAATGTTTTAAAAACTGTAACATAGGAGATTGCAAAGGGCTTGATTTTGTTGAAATCTAGTTATATTGTAACATTGTATATGTGCTGTTTTTTTAATACTAGTTTATTTTCAAAATTAGAATACATTGTTTTTGAGAGCAGATTCTTCCAACTTCCCTCACTCCCCCACCTATCAAATGGTACAATTCTATGATTAATCTACCCCTTCCCCTGTACATCCTTATCCTTCTGCTTCCAGCCATTCTGGAAGGCAGTTTGGCATTTCCTCAAAAAACGGAACATAGAAATTCCATATGACCCAATTATTCTACTACTTGGAATGTACCCTGAGAAAATGAGAACTGAGGCACAGACTTGTACACCAGTATTCATAGCAGCATTATTCACCATCACAAGAACATGAAAATAGCCCAAATGTACAACCACAAATGTATGTGCTGTTTTTGATAAGCTTCTAGTTGCCAGCTGCGACCTCCTTTTTTGTGTGTTAAGTTTGTAGAGTGTTGGGTATATGGGTTTCTGCCTTTCAGTGTCTTGTTGGCTCAAGGAAGATGGTGAATAATTTTGTAAAATCTTCATAGAGGGAGCCTAGCTAGCTGTGGAGCAGGGACCTTTTCCTGCAGGACAGGGAGGGTAAAGTCATTGTGCATGTCTTTCCACCAAGGAAGGGTGTTTGCTCCCAGGCATTGATGTCCTGGACTTCTTTGCATCCTGTGTCTGTAGGAAAGAAGACATAGGCTTAGGTTGTGTTGATGGGCATGGGTAGGGTGTGTATCGTGTGTATCTTCACTCAGTAGCCTCTTCCCCCCCAATGCAGGGCAAGCTGGCTTCCTTCTTCCTTTCTCGAGTGGAGGCCCTGAGCCCCCATCTGCAGCAGGTAAAGGGAAAGGAGGAGTGTGGAGAGTCTGGGATCTGGCTTCTTCTATTATCTCTTTTAGCTATCTTTCTGCTATTGCTTCTGGACCATATTCCCACTGCCTGTCTGTTAGAGTGCTACTTACATGCACCTTCTCATCTGTCCTGTCCCACTGTCCTTATGTTTCTTTCCTCTCTCTTTGATCTTCGTCATTTTAGGGCTGGGGTGGGGGTGGGAGGAGTCTCTGGCTTTTGCCCCATCTGATACCAGATTTCTGATGCTTCTTCTTCAGTTGGCATGCGAATGTTACTCTAGGTTGCCCTCCTTAGGGGCTGGCTTTTCGCAGGGCCTGAAGCACACAGAGAGCTGGGAGCAGGAGCTGCATTGCCTGCTGGCCTCATTGCATAGCCTGCTGAGCACACTGTATGAGGGAGCAGAGGCAGGTAGGGATTAGGGAATACTGCTTGGAGCCCTTGGGGCAGCAATTAGGGAACACAGTGGGATGGGAGAAGGAGTGTGACCCAGGAGGGTGAGGGGTAGTAAGTTTCCAGGGAATATTGTAAATGGAATGAGTCATCTCTCAGCAGTGAAGGAGGAGAGGTAGGAATGAAGACATCAAGTATAGAAAGTGTGTTTCTGTCCAGCTCCTGTGCAGTATGAAGGGCCTGGGGCAGATTTGCTGCTCTCTCCGTTAGAAGATGGTGATGCCCATGCTCTCCTCAGACTTCGGCAGAAGTTTTCTGGACTGGCCCGCTGCCTGGGGCTCATGCTCAGGTGTGTGCAGACTGGGAGGGACCATGTTCCTGGGGCTGACGAGCTTGCAATGGGGCTTTTATCTTCATGAGGAAAGAGATTGTTGAGAGGGGTTTGGGAAGTTGTACTGGGGCATCTGTAGTGAGACGTCTCTGCTCTGATGCTCTTTGTAGCTCTGAGTTTGGGGCTCCTGTGTCTGTCCCTGTGCAAGAAATCCTGGATCTCATCTGTCGGACCCTCAGTGTTAGTGGCAAGAATATTGTAAGTAGACGGTGTCTTCTATTCATACCCCTTTCCTAGGCTTTTTAGGGGGTGGGATTTTGATTTTGTTAAGAGGGATCAGGAGGTGGGAATCTCTTACAGACATATGTAAACATGTCTAGTTGCAGCTTAACTATTTATGTCTCTTTCTGGTGGCCTAGTGGTAAGGAGCTGCACTCAACCCAATGTCAGGAGGTTTCAATCTGCCAGCTACTCCTCAGGAGAAAGGTGGACAGTCACTCTATGCTATTCGCAGCCTCTTAAAACACCATGGAGGGTCAGCTACAAGTTGGTTTTGACTTGACGCCTGTGAGTGAGTGGCTTCTTTTTGATCATTCTTTATTTTCCTAGAGCTTACTTGGAGATGGCCCTTTGCGGTTGCTGCTGTTGCCCTCCATTCACCTTGAAGCCTTGGATCTGCTTTCTGCCCTCATCCTTGCGTAAGTGTGATTGCTCAGGTTCTGGCAAAGGATTTGAGACAAACTAGGAATGAGGACTCACCATTCTGCCTTTGCCACTAGGTGTGGAAGCCGCCTCTTACGCTTTGGGGGCTTGATCAGTCGCCTGCTCCCCCAGGTCCTCGGTGCCTGGAGCATGGGCAGGGATACCCTCTCCTCAGGTCAAGAGAGACCTTACAGGTAACTGTTGAGGAAGGGAGTAAAGCAGAGGTGGGGAGGGGATGCAGGGGAGTGAGAGCTCAGAGGGTCTGGGAGTCCTGAGGCAGGAGAGACAGGACCAGGTGGTTAGATAACTCCCTCCACGACATCTCCTTGCTGTTCTCACTATAGCATCGTGCGGGCCAAAGTATACGCTGTGCTGGAGCTGTGGGTCAAGGTGTGTGGTGCCTCAGCCGGCGTGCTCCAGGGAGGAGCTTCAGCAGAGGCCCTGCTCACCCACCTGCTCAGTGACATCTCTCCCCCAGCCGACGCCCTTAAGGTTAGTGTCCCAGCACTGTCCACTTCCCAGTGTGCTCCTTCACCAGTCGCTTACTCTCCTCTGCCCTGACTTCCCATTTGCCTTTGTGTGATTTCTTTTTCTTTCCATCCCCAGCTGCGTAGTCCTCGGGGAAGTCCCGATGGGGCTTTGCAGACTGGAAAGCCCAGTGCCCCCAAGAAACTGAAGCTGGATGTTGGGGAGCCAGTGGCCCCGCCCAGTTACCGGAAAGGGGACAGCAATGCTAACAGTGATGTGTGTGCAGCAGCTCTGAGAGGTGGGTAAGATCAGGGACCTTGGGGCGCTGAGAGCTTGAAACTGGTTGTCACAGGGAAGTAGATAATGAGTCAGTAAATGTTAATGTAGTTAAACAAAATGTGTATGAATGATTCAAAACCAATATGATTTGTAAACTTAAAAAAAAAGTGGAGGGAAAAGTGAAGTAGGTAAAATGCAAAGCCTGGTAAAAGCCTGCAGAGTAGGTCAGACAGAAGATGTCACTTATTCACCAGGGTGGAATTTCAGCTCCAGTCCTAGAGGGGATTTTGCTTGTTCCCACAGCCCCTCCAAAGCCTCATTCATATCATGTATGCATGAACGTTGTTTACATATCCGCTCTATATGCTGAGTACTGTTCTAGCACTTGGGGAGTAAATCTCCACCCCTTTTCTGCCATTTTGGGGGCTGTGGAGGACTGCTGGGAGCAAGGCTTTCCCCCCCCCTCCACTTTATTTTTATTTTATATTAGTTTGCATACAAAATTTGTATACACTGTATATCTTTGATGTACATTGTGTCTCACACATTCTTAAACTCACATTGTGTCTCAGAAGATCATTCATGTACATTGTTTTTTATAAATATAATCACCATTGATCCATGACTACTACTACCCAATCTTTTCAAGTACTTATAGGATCTTTCCTGATTCCTTCCCCACTCCTCTACCCCCCGCCCCAAAAACTGTTATCTTAATGATCTTCCCCCTCTGCCCACTCCTTTCTCCTTCTGGACTTTGAGCCACATCTTACTAGTTAGCCTTTTATTTTTATAACAATAGTCTTATTCAATATTTATACTTAGGAGACTTAGTTCACTCAGCATAATGCTCTCTATATTCTCCCACATTATATAGCATTTTATAAAATCATTGCTCTTTAGAACTGCATGATACTCCATTGTGTGGATGTATCATAGTTTTTCATTCCATTTGTTTTTTGATGAACATTTGGGCTATTTCCATTTATTTGCTATTGAGTTATTTGAGTGAAAGTTTATAAATCAAATTGATTTTCCATGCAGCCATTTACATTTTGTTTCATAGCATTGTTACAGTATCTGAGTATTACAATACTCTCCTGTGATTCTCATTTCCATTAATCTTTCTGGTCTACCTCGTGCTGTCTGGGTAGACACTGTCATTCTTATCATATGTGATTGATAATTTGAAGGCATGTTTTCTTGGTGTTTTGCTGGTTGTTTTTTGTTTCTTAACTTTATAGTCCTGTCTGTTGTTTGTCTGAGAGTTGAGCCACAAGAATGGGTTCTGTACCAGGTCCAGTGGTATCTAAGGTTTGTAGTTTTAGGGGTTCCACCTGTCTTTGTTCGACCAGTCAAGCAGGCCATTTTTGCTTTTGAGTTTTGTTCCGTGGGTCTGCTCACTCTAATGAGAAACTTGTACCATGATCCCTTTAGAGTGTGAGCAGTGGCAGGCAGGTACCATCTTGTTCTTCTGGTCTCAGGGTCATGAAGGTTGAAGTTTGCCTGGCCCGTTAGTGCAGCAGTTCTTCTAAACCACCAGTACAACTGGAAGGCTGTTGTGTAAGACTTTTTTCTAGCTATGAAAGAAGTCTTTAAAGCCAGAAGGAGCACACCCCTTTTTTAAAAAATTGGATGAAATTTAATTCTCTGTAGGCAACAAATATGCTTACGCGAACAAAGCCCAAAACATGGCATCTCCTGGATGCAACAAGACCAGGGTAATCTGGGGAAAAGTAATTAGTGCCCATGGAAATAGTGACATGATCCATGCAAAATTCTGAAGCAACCTTTCTGCTCAGTACCTAGAACACAGAATCTTGGTGGTGCTCTGCCTCTCAGGCATGTAAACTTACTGAAAGGTAAATAGATAAAATTGTGGATTTAAAAAAAAAATTCTTGGTGAAGTTTATCTTTACCCTTGCCAGGTTGACCAGTGGTACTGCCTGTGGCCAACAGACTCATCAGTAAACAAAAGTTCTGCAGATTTGATACTCTGCAGTGAGTGGGTCAGTTTCTTTGGGTCACATGAATTTCACAGGCTGCCACCTCATTCTCTGTAGAAGAGAGCTAGCTCTTCCCAAACACAGAAATACACATCTACAGTTAACAGTGAATAAAGAAGATGAAGAATTGGTGCTTTTGAATTGTGGTGTTAGAGAAGAGTATTGAATGTAGCTTCCACAGCCAAGAAAACAAAGAAATCCACCTTGGAGGAAGTGCAGCCAGGGTGCTCCTAACAGCATGGGTGGTGAAACTTTGTATCCTATGGGTATCTTGTCAGGAAGAGCCAGTCCTTGGAAAAAGACATCAGTTGTGCTTGGAAAAGTAAGAGGGTAGTGAAAGAGCAGCTTGACAAAGAGGTGTATTGACACAGTGACTGCAACAGTGGACTTGAGCAGGCCAGAGATTATGAGGAAGGGGCAAGATCAGGAAAAATTTTGATCTGTTGTTCATCAAATTGCTATGCTATGAGATTTAATCAGCATGACAACTCCTAACAACAACACAACAGTGCCTTACATAATTATATTGTTTAAACATTGGCAATAGCTCTAAATTAGTAGAGATATTTTCTCCCCTTTTAAAAAGTGGCTTCAGACAAGTCAGACAGAGAAGCTGAAGAAATACTTTCTGATCTTTGTTTTATATTAATGAGAAAATGGACTTGTTCTAGTGGCTTGTTGTAGTTTGCCATTGAGTTGGGACAAACTCATAGCTGATCCTCCAGTGGGTTTTCAGAGGCATTAAATCTCATGGGGGGAGATTGTTTATCCTCCTGTGGAGCAGCTGGTGAATTTGGACCATATGCCTATGGGATTGCAGCACAGCTACTTACCATTAGATCATCAGATCATCAGAGCTCCCTCTCTAGTGGCCCATTGGTGGGGAATTGATTGTGCTGCTGACCCAGAAACAGATCATTTGAATCCACCAATGACTCCATGAGAGAAAGAGCTGTGAGTCAGTTCCAACTCGGTGGCACATAACAATAACATCCTTGGGTTACATTGTTCAGAACCCTTGCCTCTGAATTCTGTTAGTAGCCTGCCTCTTAGACACCTCTTCCATGCCTTATCTCCTCCCCAGGCCTCAGCCGGACCATACTTTTATGTGGGCCTCTCATCAAGGAGGAGACTCACAGGGTGAGTGAGCCTACAATTGGGTCCTGCCCTGCACCTGTCAGAGGTACCCCAATAGTGGGCCTCTCAGATGCTGGGAATGGACAGAGGAAGGGCTGGCTGGCCTTGTTGATGCTTTTGGATATACTCCTTTCCTTTGCAGAGACTGCATGATCTGGTGCTGCCCTTGGTCATGGCTGTTCAGCAGGGTGAAGTCCTGGGCAGCTCCCCATATACCAGTTCTCATTGTCGCCGGGAACTTTACCAGCTGCTACTGGCGCTGCTGTTAGCACCTTCGCCTCGGTGTCCACCTCCTCTGGCCTGTGCCCTGCAGGCCTTCTCCCTTGGCCAGCGAGAAGACAACCTCGAGGTGAGGTAGCCTCCTGGCTTTCTGGGTTCCCTGGTTTATGGTGCTGATGGGCTTCCGTCTTTCCCACCTCCTGCACCCTGAGTTCTCACCTTGTGCTTGCTTCTGCCCTCAGGTCTCCTCCTTCTGCTCAGAAGCACTGGTGACTTGTGCTGCCTTGACACACCCTCGAGTCCCTCCCCTGCAGTCCATGGGCCCCACCTGCTCCACACCTGCCCCCGTCCCCCTTCCGGAGGCTCCATCCCCTTTCAGGCCCCCACCCTTTCATCCCACAGGCACCATGCCTTCAGTGGGCCCCATGCCCTCGGTGGGCTCCATACCCACAGCAGGCTCCATGCCCACAGCAGGCCCCATCCCCTCTGTGCGCCCTGGACCACCAGCCACAACCAACCACCTCGGCCTCTCTGTCCCAGGCCTTGTGTCTGTGCCACCTCGGCTCTTGTCTGGCCCTGAGAACCATCGAGCAGTCCCAGATGAGGACCCAGTCCTTGCTCCATCTGGCAGTCCCCCTCCTTCTGTGCCCTCCGATGAGACATTTGGGGGGAGAGTGCCCAGACCAGCATTTGTTCACTATGATAAAGAGGAGGCATCTGATGTGGAGATCTCCTTAGAGAGTGACTCTGATGACAGTGTGGTGATTGTGCCTGAGGGGCTCCCACCACTCCCACCTCCACCTCCCTCAGGCACCACACCTCCCCCGGTGGCCCCAGCTGGACCATCATCAGCTGCCTCCCCTGTGCCAGCCAAGGAGGAACCAGAAGAGCTTCCTGCAGCCCCAGGGCCTCTTCCACCACCCCCTCCCCTTCCTGTTCCTGGTCCAATAACGCTCCCACCACCACAGTTGGTCCCTGAAGGAACGCCTGGTGGAGGAGGACCCCCAGCTTTAGAAGAAGATTTGACAGTCATTAATATCAACAGCAGTGATGAGGAGGAGGAGGAGGAGGAAGAAGAAGAGGAGGAGGAAGAGGAGGAAGAAGAGGAGGAAGAGGACTTTGAAGAAGAAGATGAAGAAGAGTATTTTGAAGAGGAAGAAGAGGAGGAGGAAGAGTTTGAGGAAGAATTTGAGGAGGAAGAAGGTGAATTAGAGGAAGAAGAAGAGGAGGAGGATGAGGAAGAGGAAGAAGAGTTGGAAGAGGTAGAAGAACTGGAGTTTGGTTCAGCAGGAGGGGAGGTGGAAGAAGGTGAACCTCCACCGCCTGCGCTGCCTCCAGCTCTGCCCTCCTCCGAGTCTCCCAAGGCACAGCCTGAGCCCGAACCTGAGCCAGGACTGCTGTTGGAAGTGGAGGAGCCAGGAGCAGAAGACGACCATGGGGCTGAGATGGCCCCCACCCTAGCCCCGGAGGTCCTGCCCTCCCAGGGAGAGGGGGAAAGGGAAGGAGGAAGCCCTTCAGCAGGGCCACCACCTCAGGAGCTTATTGAAGAAGAGCCTTCTGCCCCGCCACCCCTGCTGGAAGAGGGGACTGAGAATGGGGGTGACAAAGCACCCCCACCCCCGGAGACATCTGCTGAGGAGGAGATGGAGACAGAGGCAGAGACGGAGGCAACAGCAGCTCATGAGGAAAAGGTGAGAAGGTCAGGTTGGGAGGACAGCTTCTGTGGGAGGGTGGGGTGGGAGGAAGGGGTCATAGCTGCTTGTATTAGCGACAGGCTTGTGCCCAGCCTGGCCCATTCTTCTGTGTATGTGTGTAACTGCTATTTGTCTCCCTAAAAGGAGCAGGATGACACAGCTGCCATGCTGGCTGACTTCATTGATTGTCCCCCTGATGATGACAAGCCACCACCTGCCACGGAGCCTGATTCTTAGCCCTCCTCTCCTGCAGTCCCACTTCCTGTTCACAATAAAGTTATATCCTTAGATAGTGACTGCTGCTTCTGTCTTTTGCCAACTCTGTCCCCAGCCAGAAGTCCAAGCTTCTCCTGGGCTTTTCAAGGTACCCGTGGTATTTCTCAAATGTCTCCATAGCTCTCCTGTTGTCTCCATTGTCCAGAGAGGAACTATTCACTTACAGAGGTTCTGAGAACTATTCTGTCACTCAGGAAATCAGTGTTAGAGTTTGAGAATTCTTGTCCTCTGCTTTTCCTGTTCTCAATACATCTGTGCTGGGTGGCCTGTACGGTTAAGACTGTGAAGAGTTAAAAGATATAGTTACAAGTGAAAACATAGAACAAGACATCTGGCAACACAACGTCCACATTTACAACTTACTGATGTTGATTAAATTTTTTCGTATTGTACCACTGTTTTCCCTTATCCAGGAAGACTCTGCTTTTGTGTGTGTAATCCAAGTGTACATACATAGGGTTTTCAGAGGCCTGCCATTTCAGAAGTGGATGGCCAATCCTTCCTCCTAGTCTGTCTTAATCTGAATGTTTAGATTTAGAGGAGTATCTGACAGACAGCAGTTTGTGGAGTAGTGAAAGATAAATCCCTCATTTTGGAGTTGACCATTAGTTACAGTGTAGTCCCTGCCCTTAGCCCAGTGCCTTGACCCACTTATTTCCCAGCTCCACCCTCCAGCAGGATACCACTTCACTTCTACCAAATGCCTTCAGAATTAATTAATCTCCCATTGTCCGACCCATCACCTGACAGCTTGTCAGAGAGATTTTTTTTTCTTCTTCCTGTGTCCAGTGTCTCTTAAGTTTACTTAAGAGAAAGTATTGGAGAAGAGTATTGAATGTACCATGGACTGCCAGGAAAACAAACAGATTCATCGTAGAGAGGATTAAACCAGGCTGCTCCTTGGAGGCAAGGATTCTGGGGCTTCGTCTGACATACTTTGGACATGTTGTAAGGAGAGACAGGTCTTTAGAGAGGGACATCATGCTGGGTACAGTAGAGGGACAGCGCAGGAGAGGAAGACCCTCTATGAGGTGGATTGATTCAGTGACAGGGGCACTTGGGATGGGTGTGTCAGAGACGATGAGATTGGCACAGGATAGAGCACGGTTTAGGGCTGTTGTACATAGGGTCGCTATGAGTCGTAAACAACTCGACGGCACATAACAATCCAAGTGTGGAAATGTATGAAATAAAGTGTTCTACTGTGTGAACGATATAAAGGCACACACAGAGAGAGGGAGAGTCTTGGAAGAGCAGGCAGAGTGATTATGATGGAACTTAGAATTTCGAAAAAGTGTAGAGGAGTTTAATCATTGAATTCTGTGAAACTTGAACCTTGGACATGTAGTAAATCTAGAGATAAGGTCTGTTTCAGGCTGATCTTTAAATTATACAATCCCATACCTTCTCCTTGCCTTCCTGCCTGGAGTTTGCCAGCTTTTCTTGAGATCAGAAATTTCCTAGTCAGTGTCTGCTCCTTTTTGAGACCAGGGTCTAGACCTTGTTGGGATGCACAGATGAACCTGAAAGTACCAAGATGTGTGGGCTCGAGGTCAGTGTCTTGTGCGTTATTCTCTCACTCAGTCTCTCTTGAAGTTTGGACATAGGATCAGGGAGATGCAGAGAAGGGAGTGGTTTGTTCTAATTCAGTGTACCTTATAGGGCCCCTATGGGGAGGTGATAATTGAACTAAATTTTGAAAATTTTAGTGAAAGTTTAAAAAGACTTTTTCCAACTTGTTACTGAAAAATTTTAAACCTTCAGGAAAATTGTAGAACTAGTGTACAGTTCTATTTAATGATTAATTACGTTATCTGTTACAGTTTTATTATTATTTGCTTTATGCTTTATTGCACTTTGCAGAGAGTTAATTTTTTACAAATGGAAAGTTTGTGGTAACTGTTGAGCAAGTCTAAACATTTTTCTAACACCATGTGCTCACTTTATTTCTAGGTCAATGTTTTGAGAATTTTCACGATATTTCAAACTTCTCATAATGCTATTGGAACACTTAGTAGACTACAGTAGAGCATAAACTTTAAAGTGCTGGAAAGCAAAAATAATTCATGTGACTTGCTTTATTGCAGTGGAATAAAAACCACAGTGCCGTCTGGGTATGCCCATTTTTCCTATTCCTGAATTCACCAATTGCTAACAGTTTACTGCATTAGGTTTTATCCCAGTATAACTGTCTCCATAGGGACATGTTTATCTCTGAATCCATGTGTGTATATTAATTGCTCTTTTTATGGAACAGTGTGAAATGAAGTTGCTGAGATGACTTTACACCTAAATTTTTACTCATCTCAGAATAAGGACAATCTTCTACATAATTACAAAACTGTTAAACTTCAGAAAATATTTTTAACAGTAATGGAGTAATGCACTTACTGCAGAGGGTCAAGGACTGCAGCCTTCAATATGGACTGAGGCTCAATGTCAAGAAGACAAAAATTCTCACCACTGGACCAATCGGTAGCATCAGGATGGATGGTGAAGAGATTGAGATTGTTCACAGCTTCAGTTTGCTCGGCTCCACGGTCAACACTCTTGGCACCAGTAGCCAGGAAATAAAAAAATGTATTGTGATGGGAAAGTCTGCAGTTAGGGACCTCTCTAAAGTACTCAAGAGCAACAGTGTCTCTCGGGAGACTAAGGTGCGCCTGATACAGGCCATGGTTTTTTCGGTCACTTGTTATGCATCAGAGAGTTGGACAACGACTAGGGAGGATAGAAGGAGAATTGACGCGTTTGAGCTGTGGTGCTGGAGAAGAGTATTGAATGGACTGCCAAGAAAAGAATCTGATTCATCCTGGAGAGGGTTAAACCAGGCTGCTCCTTGGAGGCAAGGATTCTGGGGCTTCGCCTGACGTACTTTGGACATGTAAGGAGAGACAGGTCTTTGGAGAGGGACATCATGCTGGGCAGAGTGGAGGGACAGCGCAGGAGGGGAAGACCCTCTATGAGGTGGATTGATTCAGTGACTGGGGTAATTGGGATGGGTGTGTCAGAGGCATTGAAATTGGCACAGGATAGAGCAGGGTTTAGGGCTGTTGTACATAAAGTCGCTATGAGTCGCAAACGACGGCACATAACAACAACAACAATGGAGTAATACTTTGTATGTGTGAGAGTGTGATTTTTCTTACATGTCTCTAAAATGTCTCTTCTCACCCCCCAAAAATTGTCTTTATAAGCTACTTTTTCTTTTTTCTTCTTAATTATATATATATATATTTTTTTTTTTTAAATTTTTTTTTTAATTTTTTTTTGTGTGGTGGAGAAGGCCCTGCAAATCTCAGGGATCCCTGTAAATACCAAAGTGCAGACCTGAAAACTGCCATTGTTGTTAGGTGCTGTCGTGTTGAGTTTGTCCCATAGCAACCCTAAGAACATCAGATCTAAACCTGTCCTATTGTGTACCATCCTCACAATTCCTGACGTACTCAGGCCCATTGCAGCAGTCACTGTCAGTCCACCTGGTTGAGGGTCTTCCTATCTTGTTGACTCTCCATCTTTCCAAGCATGATGTCCCTCTCCAAGGAATATCATCCCTAGCGACATGCCTGAAAATATGTAAGATGAAGCTTTATCATTCTTTGCCTCCAGGGAACATTTCAGCTGCACCATTTCCAAGACACTCCTGTCTCTTTCCTTGGCAGTCTAAGGTACACTCGGTACACTTTTTTTTAACACCACTGCTCAAAGGCATGGGTCCTCCTCCTATCATCCCTATTCATTGACCAGCTCTCAGATGCATAACAAGTGATCAGAGACCATAGCCTGAATCAGGCACTTTAGTTCTCAAAATGACGTAATTGCTTCTCAGTAATTTGAAGAGGTCCCTGGCTGCAGACTTTATCCCTGTGCAATACGTCTCCTTTTTTCCTGACTGCTGGTACCAAAGGTGTTGATTGTGGATCCGAGTAAGATGAACTTATTGACAGTTTTAGTCTTTTCTCCATCTATCATGATGTTGCCTATTGGTCTAAGAATTTCTGTTTTCTTGATGTTGAGATGCATTTCATTTTGATGGCTGTGTTCTTTGATTTTCTGCAACATTTGCTTCAAATCCTCATTTTCAGCAAGCAAGGTTCTGTCATTTTCATAGCACAGATTATTGAGGAGTCTTCCATCATGATGCTACATTGTTCAGAGATTCCAGCTTCTTGCATCATTTGCTCAGCATAACATTGAGTATGTATGTAGAGAGAATACAACCCTGACACCCTCCTTGATTTTTAAACCCTGTAGTCTTCTCTTACTCTGTGCAAACAACCGCTTTTTGATAACGTTTCACAAGAGCACGATTAAGTGCTCTGGGATTCCCATTCTTCTCAATGTCAGCCATAATTTGTTATGATCCACACAATCAAATGCCTTTGCACAGTCCATAAAATACAAATAGGTATAGTCAATAAAATAAAATATAAATAGGTATTCTTTTTCTGATATTCTTTATTGTCATCCAGGATCCATTTAACATCGGCAGTGATATCCCTGGTGCCACGGCCTCTTTTAAATCTTGATTGAGCTCCTTGCAGTTCCCTTGCAGTTCCCTATCTGTTATACTGTTCTAGCTGGTTTTGAATGCTCTTCAGCTGTATTTTACTTGAATGTGATATTAATGATACTCCACTATGTTGGATCACCTTTCTTGGGAATGGCAACTAGTAGGATTTCTTCCAATCAGCTAGACAGCTGTCTTCCGCATTCCTAGCATAGACAGGTGAGTGCATCCAGAGCTGCATATGTTGATTGAAACATGTTGGTAGCCCATCAATTCCTGGAACCTTATTTTTTCCCAGTGCATTCAGTGCAGCTTTCCCTTCTTCCTTCATTACCATTGGCTCCTACCAATATACTTCCTGAAATTTTTCAGTGTCAATTCTTTGAAAACTGGAATAGTGACTTCAAAAAGGAAAGACCACGGTTTTTGGAAACTAAACTAGAGAGAGAGA